TAGCTTCGTTGAGCGTTTGCGGATCAGGAAGAGTTAATAGCAAATCCTTCACATCGTCCCTTAAATCCCAATAGAATTGACTCATCAACGCTTCTTCGTCCCAATTCATGTCGCATGCTAATTGCGTGAAGTCCAATGCATAGACTGATGTATAACGCATCCCTTGTCGTAGTGACCGGATCTTTGTTGTAGCCCATCGAACCTTGTCGTCTTCACCAAATGCTTCCGCAAATGCCTCCAAAAAGGTTTCAAAGTTGTTTAGTATGGACGATTGTTTCTCAAATAAAGGAGCAAACTATGATAGAGCTTATCCTATAAGTAAGGTTCCAACAAGCCCAACACGTGACTCCTCCGTTGGATAGCGTTCGAGCTGTAAAACTGTTATCAACCTGATTTGTTTGATGAATCCTCGAAACTTGGAACGTATACCATCGAACTTGTCCGAAAGGCTAACTCGGGGTTCCTTATGTTGTAGAACCAGTGGTGCTTGTCGAACTTGAGGCAAAGTTGCTTCTTCAAGTGTAGAAGTTTGAGGCTGGTGCAACCTAGATTGTGCCATCCCAGATGCTCCATCATTATGAAGCCTTGCCACGACTCCTTCAATCTCTGCAGTTCTTTGCGATAACGTAGCAAGGGCATTCATGATAGCATCTAACTTGGACTCTGAACTTTTCGTCATACTAATGTCTTGGCCCCCGACCATTCTAAGAGAAGGACAGAAATGACTCTACAAGAAGACAATATTGGTTTAGAGGAGGGTACTCCACAACCTCTAAAATGCCTTAAGAGCTTCAAGAAAAGAGATAATCCACTCTCTCCAAGAAGAATAAGACTCCAATATTGTAACAAAAGAAGTATCAGTTTAGAGGAGGATAATCCACAACCTCTAAAGTGCTAGTACACTTCCAAGCAGAGGGATAATCCACACTCTAACAAAGAAGAAACTAGCTCTGATATCTGAGGTGAGTGAAGTCTCGACAAACTGTCATGGACACAGAATACAGACTTGATATCTACCAAGAAGTTCAAGAAGAACTGGCAAGAACTAGATTAATCAGATGAATACAAGAACAACACCAGAGAGGTGAGCTAGAGCTCCAAGAGATGTGTTGTCGAGACTGAAGAACTCTTCAGCCTCAATTCCAATATATACTACTATTTAGGAAGCTTCTCAAGCAACTTCTACCAACTAGGAAGCTTCTAGAAGGTTCCAGAGACTTACTTCTAGAAGGTTCTAGAAACTTATCTCTAGAAGGTTCTAAGGACTATGTCCCTAACATCTTCTACCAACTAAGAAGCTTCTAGAAGGTTCCAGAGACTTGCTTCTAGAAGATTCTAGAGGCTTGTCTCTAGAAGGTTCTAGAAACTTGTCTCTAGAAGGTTCTAAGGACTATATCCCTAACACTCTAGCTCACCTCTCTGGTGTTGTTCTTGTATTCATCTGATTAATCTAGTTCTTGCCAGTTCCTCTTGAACTTCTTGTTAGATCTCGAGTCTGAATTTTATGTCCGTGATACATGAGAACAATTAAGAGAACCACAACATTATGACAAAGGTATTTAAGATCTTCTTCCATTACTAAAGTTAAAAATTATTTCCACTGGTAAATTGTATGTACCTTGATATAATAAAGACCATGCTCAAATCCAAATATGATTTTTTTGCCAATCTTGTGAATAAATACTTTTTAAAATACTTGTTTATATTTCATAATTGAATAAATGATAGGCAAAATTTCTTCAACTCTCATTTTGTGTTTTGAAATTGCCAAGATTGATATTTTTGGTGTTTTTCTTGTTTAACTCCTTTCAAACATTCTATGAGTTATCAATTGTATTATAGTTCATTTAATGATGTTACTAACTCTATAGTAGCAATTATAACTCTAATGTTGGAATTATCCATATTGCATGACCTTCACAAAAAAAATATATAGTAATTAGTTCTAAATAAAAAAATAAATGTATATATTAAGAAAAAAAACTATTAAGATTATCAAAAAATAAATAAAAGAAGAAAATAACCAACCAAGCAATGGTATGTAAAATGACATTAATTTCTATATAAGGATTTTTTTAATAATATGATAGAACATTCTTAAAATAAATAAGTCATAGATGATAATTCAAATTATTATCTATTTAGAAAGGCATTTCTAATTTTTTTTATGGCATCACTCAAATTGAAAAGAATATAGTAATAATGGTATTGTCCATTCTTTCATGTTCAAGTTTTATTATTATCCATCCAAAGTATCCACACTTGAGTGTAATGATATTAGATGTCGAAAGAGCATGTATCCATTATAGATGATATCCACAAAAGTATCCTAATAATATAGCATGAGAGGAATAATAAACAAACAAATAAGATACTATTATAAGGTTGTTAAAATTAATGAGGGATGCAATAAGATAGAAGGGTATTTAAAGGCCGAGAAAAAGTACTTAGAAGATATTTGAGAAGAAGCACAATATGTAACAAGTCTTGTATAGTAACACAAGTCAAGTTAGTGTTGAGCCAATGGCCATGTAATTTTCTAATTAAGCAATAAACTATTTTTTGTTTTATTTTGTTTTTTATTTTTTATTATTGTATGTATTGAGTCTAATCTTACAAGGATGTATTCCATATTTATTAATAACCTCAAAAGCCCAAGTAATAATTATCATATGAAGATAGTGTAATTCCTCAAATTGTAACTTTTATCTATTTAAGTTTATAGTTTTTTTATAGTAAATAATATCTTGATCATGCCTACCACTAATGGCTTGAATAAATTTAAGAATAGTCTTATCCATAGAAGCTAATGCAATATTTGCAGCCTTCATTGATAAGTAATATTTTTTGGTAGAATAATCAAAAGATGATTCACTATTATCTATAATTCACAAAGATATTATTATTAAACATTAGAATGCAAAAACATATATATTCAATTTATACAACAAGTTTAAAAATATCTCCATATGTAATATTGAAATATATAATATCCAAAAAATAAACTAAGAAGTTTTAAAACATACCAATCAAAGGTGCTATTATTCTATTGTCAAAAAAAAGGCTTCCAATATCCATAACTTGTAAAGTTTTAAGAAATCACTCTAACATTATTAGGTAGATAGTTTGATCTAGTGGTGTCTTTGAAAATCTTCTTAGATGGTTTTTTTTGTCCAATAGATTTATAGAAAAATAATTTAATTGACTAAAAGATATATATATATATATATATATATATATATATATATATCTTTTTTGAAATCTGGTTATAACTACTCCTATTTGTTGGTTTCTATGTACACCCCTTTCCTACAAATCATTTGCCATAACTTTTCATTGCTTTGGAACTATAGTCATATGCACACATTATAATTTGCTTAGTCTATATTTCTCAAAATCTAATTTTTTTCAATGACACATGGATAGAGTCTTTGTCAAGGATTATCTCTCAATTTTGTAAACTCTACTATCTTCACTACCATAAATTTTCTTCAATTCTATCTTAATTTCATTATGTGATTGTGTTTCAAGAATTATTAACTAAGGTTTTCTATTGAAATCAATGAGAGGACTTTGAGAACCTATTTTCTACATAAGAAAATTATAGTAAAAAATTGAAGAATATTAATCATCAAAATCTTAAAGAAAATTTTATAAGGTTTTCAAAATAATCAAAATAAGTAAAAATGGACTTCATATGAAAAAGATGTGTCAAATCAAAGTTTTTTGTGTAATTTTGTTGTTCAAACTTTGTTTTTTAAATTGATCAATGGACTTGTACAAATATTTTTTTTACATCCATGATTGAAATAGAATCTCATTATGATCACGCTCTTCATTATTAAGTGTCATTTTCAAAATGGTATTAAACTTCAAGATTGGATGATTTTAACAAAAATTACATGCAAATGAAGTTTTCAAAACTTCATCCATAATAATTTAAAAAAATTATACTTAACAACTATAAGCCTAAGAAATATGTGACACAAAACGTAAATATATTACAATATATAAATTACAAAAATGAAAGGGTAAAAAAATTCCTCTCCAAAAATATTATGCAAGTAGGCTCTGAGTCATAAAATGCTTCACTCCCTTACATATGGAATTGGAAATTTTGAAATTGGGCGGACTTTGCATTGCAGAGATCTCCAAGTGCAAGCAAAATCCAAGAATAACATTGCCTATCCATTGAGATTGGGATGAGGCCCTAATCCCCCTCCAAGATTGCCCATCTTCTGACATCCAGATACTTGGGTGGTGATAACCTGACCAGTCTGATTGAAACAGGATATCCACCTCAGGTATACCTTCAGTCTCGTGCTTGTAGTCCAGTTTGTCGAAGGCCCATGAATCTGAGCACACATACATACATTTATTGCCTCACCCTTGTATAGTAAGAGTTTGTGTTCTCTTTGGATCGCATTGCCATCTCTTTGCAGAATTTTGGACATTTTAAACCTTTGCGGAACATCGGTGTTTGCTAAAAGGCGCTGAGGTCAGAATTCTCGAGATTAGGTGTTGAATTCAAGGTTGATCTGAAAGAGATTTCTACCAGGTTATCTATCGTGTCTGTTTGTAATTAATTTAGTAACCGTGACAGTAGATGATAGAGGTTTTGGATACTATTGTTTGTATTGCATTCGGTACTGGGAATTGTACATGTAGAGGTCATTTGTGCATGATTACCACAATACCTGTATGTCTGAATTCTTAGTACTGCTATTTCCTCGGTGTCAATATTTCTGTAGGTTAAGAGCGAGAATTCTAAGGGATCTTGAATTGAAAAGAGTTACATATGGAAATTTTGAATGCTTATCGTGTAGTGTTCTTGTTTATTAACCTTCAGATTCTGGATCTTAAATTTTAACTGAACTTATCATGAAACTAAAAATGCTTGTTGTGCAACTGACTTCAACAGTTGGGTGTTGAGGGTACTGAGTAGGCTTGAGATACCTGAGCTTGTATGAGCTTGTGATATGGGAATGGATGCTATCAAAATGGCGGACTTCAACGGGGGGCTCAAGAACGACAGGTTTGATGACCTTGAGGCAGGAGTCGGTGAGTCGTCTGTGTGATACCCAGGTGTTGGCTTTGAGGAAAATACGCTATTTTCTTCAAAGCCATTTATCAGATGGGGATTTATCAGAAAAGTGTACGAAGTCCTCAGTGTTCAACTTCTGCTAACGACCATAGTTGCTGGATCCGTTGTGTGTTTTGAGGCTTCAAAACGTTTATTCAACAGACACTAGGGTTGGTCCTCTACCCCACATTAATACCCCTCTCTTCATACTTTTAATATCGTTCCTTCCAGTGAATACACTGAAATTCACTAAAGAGGTGGCTACTTCTTTAACGATTCCGCATGCTCTATTTTCTGTGTATGTTGAAGCTGTGTGATTCTTTATCTATTCTATCTAACTCTGATGTCGTTGAGATTAACAAGTATTGTTTCTGGTAAACAATTCAAGAGCAGTTGTTTGTGGATGGACGCTTATCAAGCATACTTGGTTATATACCTTAATGCACACATGAACGTCGTTTCACCAGAGTTGTTTGTTCTTGCAGTTATGTGTCATCTGTACGATTACCCTCAAAACCATACTTTGAACCTTTTTTTATTGGGACTACTTACTGTAGCTATGAGTCTTTCGATTGGTATATCGAGCTCCATGGCACTACGCACATGTAATCTTTATGGTTGCGAATTCTAAAAACTGAAAACTGGTCTGCTCTTAATACATTCTTTATTGTTTCATGAGACCCTTTGTTGATACCGAATCTGCACTCTAGTTGATTTTCCCGCTTGAGACTTTTCTGAATTTAATGGCTATTTACCTATTTCTCTTCATATTTTACTGATCATGATTAATCGTAGCTTCTTATGATACTCTTATACTTGCAGCTGTTTTATCTCAATGTCACTCAGTATCTTCGACTGGATTGATATTGTAAACTGTGCCAATTGTCTTGGAAGCTTTGGATTTAACGACCATGGTGGTGGTGTCGCTAACTGGTTACACCTACTGGGCTGCTAAGAAGGGGATGGACTTCCACTTTTTGGGTCCCTTGCTTTTCACAAGCCTCTTGGTCCTGAATTTCTTTGGTTTTATTCAGGTAATGTATTTCCTTCTGCCCTTATTTTTTTTCATGACCTATATCAGAATCTGTTTGAATTTACATCAATACTCTTCGGATTACAGTTTCACTAGTTATTGACTGTGTGTTTTGAAAATCAAAGCTAGATTCGTTATTCTACATTCTAAAAGCTGAGCTGAGCTGTCTTCATCATATTCATGGAAATGCACACATATCTTTTAATGTAAAGTTATTTTAAAATTTTTAGTGTAACTAAGAATTTTAGTGTGTATATACAAGAGTGTGTGGCACAAGAGATGTCTACGCAATAAAATAAGAATGTCTACCTAATGGTTCCCTTATTTAATTTTTGGATTTCATCTCTATTTTATTGTGATTTTTGAAACCTATTAACTTTTTATCACATTCTTTTGATTTTATTTCAATTTTACAATGACTCATCCAGGTAAATGTGTATGATTGATGTTACTCTCACATTATCACATTTATTCAAAAAAAAAATCTATATTTTATTTTATTTTAAATAAATTATATATTCTTTTTCTTTTTCTTTTTCTTTCAAGCATTAAGTATACCTAAGGTAAGACCAAGTACATTCTTAGTTTCATAATATTCTCATTAAAAAAATTAAATTTTAAGAATATACTTTTTTCATTTATTTGTATTTTGTAGTATACAAGCCTTGCTGAATTAATATGATTTATGTGATTATTGTAGTTATTTCATTGGTGCAGATAGAATCAATCTTGATATCTACTTCTTGATCTTTTTGGATAGGATTTTTATATCCATGTATAGCTAAGTCAATAGATGTTCTCAATTCGAATGTTGTATGGAATATTTGTAAGATTTTACATGTACATAAATAAAACATAGAATATCTTACACTTAAAATCCTCTATTTTTTATACAACTACTCTTACAGCTTTCAAACCAAGGATCCTATCATAGAAGTTTGATTTTGTTACTTAAGCAATACCAACATTGATGAAAGTTGTCATCATGGTTCATGAAATATTTAAAATTAAAATTCAACAACAAAGCACACTAACAATTGCTTTTCATAACTGTTAGATGCATGCATACATATTTCTATTCATTTCATGGTTGTTTTCTACATCAAAATTGTTAGCAAAACCATAATCATATTCTATATGAATTATTATTGTTGTTATTATTTCTCAACTGTCTAATTTTGGAGTAAAATTTGTGTGTCACAGAAAGAAAATTACAAAACAATTCATCATCATGTAAGTCACATCTGTCTGCACGTATCCTTGGTCAAAAAATATTTCAAACATAATAGTTAGCACAAGAAACACAGCATACATGACTAACACATGTCACTCAAGCAACAATCCCAAAATAAAAATAAAAATAAAAATAAAGTGAAATAAACAACCCAATTACAAATAATATCTGACACATACCCATGCACACAAACACATATACACACACACACACATACACATATATATATATATATATGAATGTGTGTGTGTATTCATATGCATACTTATGAGTGTGAGTGTGTATTCAATCGAAAAATGGGCTGTAATATCCATACTCTCAAGTGGTGACTATCAAAGAGGCACGACTGGGGGTCGCCGTTCGCAGCCCCGTCAGCAGCACCGCTAGAGCGAGGCCGACTGAAGCCGGTGATAACCTAGTCTCTCTCTACAGACGATAACGAGGTCCCGTGTGCTCGGAAGCGGAGCGGAGAGGTAGGAAAGATCCACTGCGTTTAGAAAGGGATGCGTCGACTTCGGGGCAGCTGATGAGTAGACAAAGGCTAATTTTAAGGCGAGGAAACATTGTGGGTCGAAATCAAAAAGTCGTCGTCTTCAATCCCTTGGCCTGGATCGGAGGCCTGAACCCTCTTTCGGAGGTCGTCAAGTGGTTCGGTAGGGTAGCGGCCATGCGACTGCGTTGCCTACAACACAGCGCGCTGAAGGAGCACGAAGAGCTCGCTTGCTGACTGCTGACTTTTCTCCCCATCCCCCTCACCCCCCGCAAATCATATATCTCTCCTAGCCCCAGCTGCTTCAAGATATTCGCAAGGTTTTGATGTGGTTGTTGTCATTGTCGTCGTCGTTGTTTCCGCGATCTTATTCAGGGTCGTGCGTTTCGTTTTTTCTAGTAGTGATAGTGTAAAGGTTTGTTTTTTGAGTGTTTGTGTGTTGTCGTGTAACTGCAGTATGGCGGGCAAACAACCACCGACGGGGTATGGTGCGCCGGCAGGTTATGGACAGCCTGCTGCACCTAGTGGGTATGGTGCACCGACTGGTTATGGACAGCCTCCGACATCGGGAGGTTATGCTTCGGGTTATGGTGCCCAGCCCGCGGCTCCTTATGCAGCACCGCCGGCAGGACCTTATGCATCAGCGCCTGGGTGTTATGGAGCGCCGGGTCAAGCTCCAGGGGGCTATGGAGCAACGTCTGGGGCTCCTGCTGGCTATGGAGCTCCTCCAGTTAGCGGGTATGGAGCTCCTCCAGCACCGGGAGGATATGGAGGCTACTCACAGCCTCAAGGCGGCGGCTATGGACAGTATCCGCCACAACAAGGAGGCTACCCTGCGCCGGGCGGTGGAGGAGGCTTTCCTCCTGGAACCGATCCCGAAGTCACAAGGTTGTTCCAGATGGCGGATCTTGATAGAAGCGGTACCATCGATGCCCACGAACTAGGAAGGGTTTTGTCCACTGGCCGAGTTGCATTTTCTCCGCGAACCCTTCGCCTTATGCTGCATCTCTTTGGTGATCTTAAGAATGATTCGACCCGAATCGGCCCGGTTGGCTTCGCGAAGCTGTGGAAAGAAATTCAGCAGTGGAACAAGAAGTTCAGCGAGTTTGACAGGGACGGGAGTGGATCTATTGATGCGCAGGAGTTGCACCAGGCTCTGATGAGCTTCAACTTCAACATTCCTCCGTCTGTTCTGCAGATGCTTGTTTCTAAGTATGATGTCACAGGCGGGAGCAGAAGCATTGGTTATGACAACTTTGTGGAGTGTGGATTTGTCGTCAAAGGCTTGACCGAGAAGTTCAAGGGACAAGACAAATCACTCACCGGAAATGCAACATTCGATTATACATCTTTCATGCTTATGGTGATCCCTTTTGTCGCTGCATGAGAAGGAATCGTTCAAATGCTTGTAGTCATACTCCACTCGATAGTATGGAACGAGACAGTTCCCCTATCAATATTGTAGCACAGTGAATTTCGTATATCGCCTTTAAGTAGACATGTCTTGCATTGGAATGTACATACACTATGTGCATTATGAACTTAGATAGCCAGTTTTAGGTGATTATTGCGCATTTGAATCAATGAGGCTGGAACTCGGTTACGTTTATGGGCAATCTTTTCTCTACCGCTCGCATATAACTTGAATGCCTCCTTAATTTGTTTGTAATAGATTGTTCACAGCCGTCTTTTTGTGAGTTTACCAACGCAATTCATTTGTATCGTTGCATTAATACATTAGAGCAGACAGTTTTCAAGAGCATGCTGCGACTCGTGATGCTGAACGTGAAACATCGACCTGAAACACCTTAGGACGATTTCCGCTGCTAAAGGTCTTGGTACAATCGTAACAGAGTCCTAACTGTTTCTTGGATGTTGAAAGTGTTCCAATGCAATAGTCTGTACTTATCATCCTCTTGACAAGCATCTAACCCAATGAACCGTCTTCATAATACGACCTCAAGCATTTCTACATTCAAATCCTATGACAACTAGGCTACGCAGAGCAGAACATAGAGGGGTATTTATCTGAAGAAACTGGCTGAGTACGTATTATCCTGAGACAGCTAGCGTTGCAATCGGAAATAGCGAATATCACACATGGTACCTCTCACACTTCACCTACATTGGCTATTTCTGCACGTTAGCAATGTCGATCTTTTAGCTTATACAGTTTCTCGGCCTACACAATAATGACTGGCATACACTACTGAAGTTAGCAAATGACACCCTAATATCTTGATGAAGTTCAAGACCAGGGAAGGGTCAGAGGCAGTGTTGAGTATACGACTTGCTTTTCAGGATTCCCTTGGAATATTGTACAACTCAGTACATACAAGTCAAAGACGGCCGTGCATAGTGTCACGAGCTTGGGACCTGCAAGCAGAGAAGAAAATTTATCCTTCAATTTGCTGTTGCAACTGTATTTGTTTCTGAATTTCATATCACATTTGCGCCACATATGCTACGTCGCGTTTTTTTTTTTTTTTTTTTTTTTTTTTTCTTGGAATGTTTCCTTTTCTTAACTTCTCCAGCTGCTGATCTCATTCAACTTTAGCAATACGAGGATTAACTCAGCATACCTTGCATGTAGACCGGATACGGTTCGTCAGTAGTATCACCGAGTAGAGACAACATGTCATCTCTAGAGAGCTTTGAATATCTATCTGCACACCTGTGCCTGTACAAGGAGGTCTCATTGGCAACCTGGAACATGCAAAACCTTTAGACTTACTTTAATATCCAAATATATTGCTGCGGTCTACTATCAAGATACAACTGTTCCACGAAACTAATTTATCTTCTCTATGCCGACCACACCTGTATATAAGTAGACTTTCTTCAACAGATATAAAATTTCATCTCTGTACTCTGGGAGTTTCCAAATTCCTTAGACTGTACAAGACCCAGTATGGTTAATTAAGAAAATTAGTCCTCTAGAACTACCGGGGTTGGGTTAGTGACTCGATACAGCCTTAGACGGTAATGAATGGTGCCCTATACCTGGTTAACATGAAGGTGTACATACATGTTGGCATGGAAGAAAGGTTCTGCTCCGATTTCTTTTACGGACCATCTACCTTTCGATGCTGCTTCCACTGTCATCATCTTCCCTTCGTTGGTATCCATAATGTTGTAGTTATGCCCCACAGATCTGTTCGACAAGCATACTCGCTGCACAGAAGGAGATGCTCAGCTCAAATGTACAGTTGAAGATACGAACAACTTTGGTTAAATTTGGTACTCCAAGAATTACCTTAAGTGCATCACGATGATTCGAAGCTTCCAACAGGTCCCTTGATATAAAGTTGCGGCATATTCCTCCTGCTACAGCTTCCTCCGGAGCTAATGGCACGGCATTCAAAGTGAAAACCTGTACAAAAATTGAAAGACCATAATGAGGGGCCACGTTTCTAGTTGGACTGAATCAAGTACCATAACGATTGGGTTCGGCAACTAATTTTCCAAAGCTGTAAACACACTATCATTGACATTTAATACAAGCTAGTCTAAAAAAGGAATCTCACAACACCGTGGCTGTTAAACCCAAACGCGCAACTTGGAAGCTCCCCAGCATATGTGTAAGCCACGAATGATAAACCATCTTCAAATTCCGCGTGAACCAGATATCTGCGGATAGATTCTCATAGCCTCAAATAGTTTTAAAACCATGTGCGCAAACATCATAAACACTTCATGGCTGCAATCTCAATGCATTCAAAGAAGTAACGAAACAGAGAAATTAAATCCCACCACGTGATGTCATAACAGCAAATAATGTAACAGAAACCATCGATATTACGCGTGATTTAGAAGAGAAACGTCCGCATCTTCATTGTGTGCAATCACGGCCAGTGATTCCGTGTTCAACAGGATGGTGCTGCATTGGTCTGCTTCGCCTACTTTCTCGCGCTTGATGGGGGTGGCCAGAAATGGTGCAATTTCTTTTCGCATGTTGATTAAAAAGACCTTCCAGTACATCATTGATTTAGTCTTTAGGTGGATTTAGGTTTCCCAACGTGCAAAGGCTTTGCTCAGGCAGATATATTCGAACAGGAAGAGACCCACGTACTAAGAAAATAGCTAGATACTCACCTGAATGAAGGGCACCTCCGCACCATCGGCTGTCCCGCGTAATTCTTCGAAATAGACAGGGAACTGCTCTCTGCACCAACAAGCACCACTGTCTACAAATTAAGCCAGGTTCTCGAGATTCAAGTATGAGGTGACAAGGTCTTCTTGGTTACTTCTCTGCTGAAACTTTAATTGCAAAATTCATTGATCTATTGGACGAAGTTCTTGAGACACTGGCGAATAATGAAGAAGATATGCAAAGCACTAGCTCCTCAGCGTGTAACTTACCACATTGTTTCTCACAAGAATAAGAATGCGGTTATACGAGGGCTACACAAAAATCTACAACTAATTTACAACAGTGGGCGCTGAGATTCTAAAGGCGGTGACGAACCTGTTCGCGGAGGTAAGTGCAGCGACAAGCTTTTCCCCGTCCTCAGTCGCGGCAAACGGAAGCAATTCGGAATGCAGTGCCGGGTCAGACGCAAACCTGGAGTGAATCAACCCCCGAAACCATTTCCCAATTGCGTGACCCAGCTCGTAACCTCGTCGAGTCTTCACGTGCAAGCAGGGCAGCCATGGCTCATCTGCCGCCATCGTCACAATCCTCAGAGCCTGCGCCTTTGCACTCTCAACTTTACTCCTACCTCCCCCATTATCAAAACTGAGCAAGCCTTAGTTGGATCTCCACCGAGAATGTCGATCAGTGTGGATGAGATACAGAGTGGACAGCCTTGTACACAACTATTGGCCATGGATGAATTCCATAGTGCAGAGAATGCCGCTAACCAGCCCCATAATTGTGCATTCCAAAGTTTGATACATTCAAACGACTGACATCTCCACATTACAAAAACTGAACCCAAACGGTGCCAGGAGATCACAATTTGCTGACCCAAATTTAACGTGGTTTCTCCACCTGTTACGAAGAATTATATAGAAATCGATTTTGAAACCTCGTTGGTTTAAAATCATGCCGCTACTGTGTGCCAACTTCATCTCATTGACGTAAAAAAGACCTCTAACAACTGCGCTAAAAGCATCCTTCATACATTTTGGAAAGCGACAATTTCAAAGCTGTGAGTCAAAAGTAAGCAGTAATCATGACAAGAGTAAAATGCTTGCAATTGAAAGTACTGGAAAATCAAAATATAATGCACTCAATGACCCACTGCAGTCCCAAATTCTAGCTACTGTTACGCTACGACTGATTACCCTACAGTAAGTGAATCTACGCCAATTTTCATAATCTCCAGTTGAGACAGCCTCCCCATGGCTTTTTCTATACAATGTCCAACATATATAGCAACTCATGCTGCACAATCATGCACAATTTTGGTGCACTGGTAATCACTCTAATTCAACATACGCAGTAGGTCAATTTCAAGTATTCCAACATCTTGATAAACTTTCAAGTTCACCCAAAATGCAGGGGACCTTGCCAGGACACTACAGAAGCTACAAGCGAGATGCAGGCTTCAATGGGCACCCTGTTTCAAACGCGTGATGCAAAACATCCTCCATACGTTTCGCTAGAAGGATCTGTATAAATGATGCAACGTGATTTACTGGTTACTTGAGAGCAATGAGGAAAAAAATAGAAATACAAAATTATAGAAGTATATCAAAAACAAGAACACATCAAATTTGTTTAATACAAGACGAAATAAGAAAGAATTACCTGTTACCTCAACTGGTTTACTCTAAAAATTCCTACACTAGCCCTTGTGCAGACCGTTGTAGTAAAAAGAGCAACGAAATGATGCGCAAAGTGTTTCAAAATGCCTTCTAGATCTGTAAACTCATTGCACTCTTTGCAAGGGTTGAGATCACTATATAGGTGATCTCTAACAAAATCTGTAAACAACAAGAGATCTAAGATCTATGTCCGACTCAGGCATATCCATTACCTCCATGTTTGCAAGAATAGCTGGAGGAACTTCCTGCAGGTCTTTTCGGTTACGATCGGGTAATATGACTCTCTTCAGTCCACAACGATGAGCAGCTAATATCTGTTTCAAGACAAAGGTTTGTAATGCCGTGAATATAGAGAGTTGTCAGAAGACTACACCAGCGTTCAAGCCATCTAAGAGGGAGCATACAGGCAATATGATAGAATAACTCAGAAATAGCGCAATTAAACCTGCCGTACAGTGATAAGATCTGCGCGGAAAAGAAATTCTGAAAACAGGGGAAACAATGTCACACCTTATCTTTGACACCGCCAACTGGAAGCACGAGACCTCTAAGAGTCATTTCTCCGGTCATCGCAGTGTCTGCTCGTACACATTTCTTGCCGAACAAGGACACCAAGGCAGTCACTAAAGTTACGCCCGCTGACGGACCATCCTTCGGCACTGCACCTGCAGGAAAGTGAATGTGAACATCTCTATCCTTCATCAGGTTTCCCGCCTCTGCTTCTGGCAACTTCAGCTCTGCTGCTCTGGCTCGCACCTGAATTGCAATTGCAGTTTCAACGTCAAGATGCAAATTTGTTCACATCGATTTCGTGAAGTACCTAATGCATCTAGCAGGAGATAACCTAATTGTAACCATTTTTTTTCTTCTTAGTAATACAAACTTACCCATGTCAGAGCAATCTGGGCTGATTCTTTGATTACATCTCCTAATTGCCCTGTTAGATGCAGTTCTCCCTTTCCAAGCATCGCGGTGGCTTCTACAAATTGAACTTCACCACCAACGGCTGTCCACACTAATCCTACAGCCACCCCTGGAATGGCTACTCTTTCAGCTGCTTCCTTTCCATCGAATTTTGGAGGCTGTCAAAAAATCAAAAGCAGATTAGTTTGGTCGGGAAAACACCCAATCTATTGAAAATGAGGTTGCTAACTGTCTTTGCGCAACGACAGGAAAGTTTTGGAGCTCCTTCAGTTCCAAAAGAAACAAAGCACAAGCTCTTCGACTGCTCTTCATTGATTAACCCATCATGAAACTCTGGATGAATTAACTACAGAAAGGACGGCAGTATAATATCCATCTTTCACAACATAGGATGAGAGAGGGATGAATACCCCTAATACTACTTCCAGTACTGCCTCATCGACTAGAAGAGGTTCTGCGTGAACAGAAGCATGCGCAACTTCACGCGCATGGCCATCAACCTCTACAACCAGTTCCACTTCTCCTGAATCGGCAATTCCTCCAGGTCCTTGCCCTTGATCAATGACTTGAGGAGCATCAGGTTGCATATCACGAGCCACTCGCTCGACTTGGAGTTTCTCTGTCAGTTTCACAGCCGCTGCCCTAGCTAAGGCTGCTATATGTCGTTCTAAATTGCGCACCCCGGCCTCTCTAGTGTATCTTGAAATCATAAGCTCCACCATCGACTGTTTTGCACCCATTTAAAAAAAGCAAGTCAATAAATCTTAACAATTCACAGCAGAAATACTCTGCCGCTCCACTATAATAAACGATTTAAGAGCCAAAATTCGTCCAAAATGAGCATCTGAAGCTGATTTATACCTGAGGAAAATATCTGCGTAGTGACAAAGAGGCAATAAACAAAGAACTGAGTAGTTGTTCAAAGATGGCACAACATCTAACCTCTGATATTTGAACATGCTGGTCAGTAATACCATGTTGATCAAGAACACGGGGTATAAGGTGCCGCATGGCAATACGCAACTTCTCCTCCGAAGTATAGCCAGGCAGTTCAATGACTTCCATGCGATCCAATAGCGGTGCTGGCATCGTCTGCACCCTATTGGCTGTGGCCACAAATACTACCTTGGAAACATCAAATGGTACGTTCAAGTAACTTTTGTTTCACTGATGAAGGAGGAACTCAATGAAGGAGCACTTCATACTAAAGAAAATGCAACATTTGGTAATAGATCCACTTCAAAGCGGAACAAGGACCAGACACTCGTGAATAATAATGTCCATAAATAAAAAATTCACTGAATATCTCAAGAATCACTAGATTTCAAACAGCTCGAAAAGGTAACATGAAACTGATTTATGTTTTACAGGATACTGGTCATTGAAGGTCTTGTTTTGTTCAGGATCAAGAACTTCAAGAAGCGCAGAGGCCGGGTCCCCTCGTACATCGGAACCTGTTTTGTCAATCTCATCCAGCAACATAACTGGATTGTTCACCCCAACTCTCTGTTAACAGACATGATAAACTTAATGAGCTTATACTACCAATTTTTTATTTTTTATTATATTATTTAAAAAATAATAAAATAATAAAATAGTTTTAAAAACCATTCATTCCTGCACAAAAGAAGGCAAGAGAAAAGGAAACATTACTTTAATGCCATCAATAAGTCGCCCGGGCATACTTCCAATGTATGTCCTGCGATGACCTCGAATGTCAGCTTCGTCTTTGACTCCTCCAAGTGACAACCGAATGAATTTCCTGCCCAGTGCCCCTGCAATTGACGAAGCCAACGATGTCTTCCCTGCAGCCACCCAAGTGTATCTTAGATTTCGAAAGACCTAAGCGGAGATTCTCGCTGACAAATAATAAGCGGAGCGTTGCTTGAAATGTCCTCTGTTATTGCCAAATTATGCTTGTTTTAGGAAAGGAATAGAAGGCTAGCAATTAGGATGAAAATCTCACCAACGCCTGGAGGCCCTACGAAGCAAAGCACAGGCCCTCTAGCATCTGGCTTGAGCTGCACCCACATGCCCATCCACAAAATCAGGATGAATCAACCTACACAGAGAAGAAATTTATCCTTTCTAAAAACCAATTCTGGTTACTGAGTAATTCTGATGCACTAAAATTCATGATAAAGTCTTAAAAGTAGAAAAAAATAACTTCATGGGTTAGTAATGTTTCAAAATCAAACAGGTTCTCTGATGGTTTATCCTCGTACATGATATTTGAAATAGCAACCAATAATATGCAGATTGCTAAGGTACAAAAATAAGATATTCAGGGGCTGTTAAATGGTTCTTCAAAGATTCTAACCCATATAGGGAGCAAAGCCCTCTAGGAAATTGCAAGAGACGGAAAGTAAACGAACCTTGCGCACGGCCAGATACTCGATAATCCGCTTCTTCACCTTGCTGAGGCCGTAGTGCTCGCTATCAAGTTGTTCTTGAGCAGCCACAAGATCAATTTCGCGCTCCTCACTGGCAACCTGCCACGGCAGCTCAGCTAGTAGTTCCAAGTACGTACGGGAGCTGCCATATCCTGGCTGTTGTGGCTGCATTTTTCGCAACCGTCTGCAGAAAAATCCGAACCGTTCAATCTGATAATCATACTCAAGCTGAAAAATGACAAGGAAACTGCAGTTACATAAAAGACCCAATCGTCAGAGCAGGATTTACACACCTGAGCTCTCTTTGAGCATGTTTCCACACATTTGGAGGCATGCCAACACTCTGCATTTTTCTTTCCAGTGCAACCACATCATCCTCGTCGTCATCATTCTCTCCTAACTCCTCCTTGATGGCCCTGATCTGACCAGAAAGTTGGCTAAGAGCATTACCTTACTGCAGAATCGACAAATATGAAGGGCACAACAAAACAAATAAATTGATAATGTGAATGAAAACATGTAGTACCTGGTGGCGTAAGATTTCCTTCTGAGTTTTCGACAGCTGTCCATCCACCTTTGAGGATATTTTTTCTGCTACTTTGATAGTCTGCAAAAAGTTTCAACGATTTCGAGCGTAAGAACATTCGATTATAAACGTTACCCGACAGATTCACGTAGTTTTTTCTCGAAAGCGAACAAGTCAAGAAAATCAATAACGTAATGAGAGAGATTATGAGCGCATCTTGAATCACAAGGGCACACACATGATGAATCGAGAATATGAGCTTAATCAACTCAGTGATATTGTATGTTAACAACTTCAAAAAGGTAAGAAATCAGAAGTGCAAATAGATCGATAACCTGTAGGTGGCGTGTGACAATTTCCGTGGCTTTAGACAACCGCTGTCGAAGGTCAACAGCATCTAGCATAAAGAGCCGCTCCTCAAAACTAACTTCAAAATTGGCTACAAAAACATCAGCCAGCCGATACGCTGGCCACGACTCTAAGATAACCTTTGTGCGCCCGAATGATTTCTGTTTCTGGACAATGTCAAAGCATCGGATAAAGTCATCATGACAAGTATCTCATGGGAAGTGAAGCAAAAAACCTAGACAAGGTATTGAAAGACCAAGATGGGAATCTAGAGAGAATACATGGATGCGAAGACAAACAAAAAGTCATTTAAGAAAAAAATCAGAACAAGTTTGGATAACCATCGACTGTGTTAACTGAATATCTACGTCGAAACAACACAACTGTTATTTTGACAAAACATAGCAAACGATTCAAATTAATCAAGATAAGTTACCTGCTCAAGAAGGGATATTAGCTCTCCAGCAACAGCTTTAAACTGGCGTGACAAAACTTGCACCTCAGGATCTTTCTCAGCCTGTTCTATTTCTGCACCAACCATGATCACATATCTTTATCAAACTTGTAATTCGTTCATTCTTAAGCGTTACCCTGATAGTAGTGAAATTTCATCGCACTTAATCTGTTGATTTGCAACTGCAGATGAAGGATTTGAAAAGGGAAACGCACCAGCCTCGTTTCGATCAAGTTGAGTGATACGTGCAGATTTATACGAACTAGTGGAAATCAACTCTTGTACCCCAAATCGGCACCATCCTTCAAGCATTACTATATATGACACACGGCCAGTGTACTTCTCTATCTTTTGTTCCAACTCGAGTGCCCTTGCTGCAACTCCCCTACGACCACATTGCTGACATAGTTAATTGCCATTGCAGCATAATTTCAAAATGAGATTCACTTACCAATACTGTCCATAAGGATCTGTTATGCAACTAAACACCGCTGTCGGCAAAGAAAACCACCTGGGATGCCACTGGATGAGATCGTCCCCGTTCTTGTTACTGTGCAACGATAAGATTATTTCTCCTCTTTCCTTTTCACCAGGAGCCTTAATCACTGTACCTGCAGGTTTCACCTTATGAGAGATGACTCTATGTACTGCCCAGGACTATGAATTGATAATTGAAGTGCACTCAGAAATAAATGAAGAACCATGAATGGCATCCACAAATTGGCAAGTTTCCGTGCAAAATACTAGCCTTGAGGGGAAGGAGTCGTTGAAATAGAACTGCCTGACGATTTAGGTTGCTCAAGACGATCGTGAAGCGGCAAGACGCCAATAAACCTCCCTTTATTCTCTTTCTGCCATAGCTCTTGTTCAATCAACCTGACACTGCAGGACCAGAAGCCGCTCTAACAAATGAAAACTCAAAACGACACATAGTAGATGTTACTGAAAGAGAAGCATTCCTTCACTGACTCTTCCCACCGTTATGAGGCAGTTCCATCCAAGGATCCTTGTAAGTTCAACATATTGCCAGTCACAAGAACTAGGACCACAGCTCTAAATTTTTCCTGCTCACTCCAGAATTACGCAACGAAGTGTTACAGAAAAGTCTCCTCTAGCAACTGTGCTTGTTTCAGCATCTCGAGTGCTAAACTAACTGCATTTTATAACCTAAACCTGAGCTGCGCGTACTACAAGCTTAGCAGAATTAGTGAAGTTCATCAGCACATTCAAGAATATGCTGAAGTTGTTAAGGTCCCTCAATTCGTTCGCTTACGACCATGCAATGCGAAACTCTCATATTGTCGGAGAGCCTCCCGTCCATAACCAACATTGAAGAAGACGTAATCCAAATAAACCAGTACGGTGGCCACCATGAAAACCAGCCGTCCATTGACGAGTATCACGATCAAAATTCAACACAACAAAACCCAAAGTCGGCATGACCTACACTCAACAACTCCGCCTTCCTTTGCCACTACTCTATTTCATAAACTCCGGAAAAAAAAATGAAAAATGAAAATAAAAATAAAAATAAAAACACACGCAAACAAGCACACACACGCACACACAAAAATCCGTTTTAATTCCTCAAGGAAATTCCATCCTAATTTCGCCACCACATAAGCCCGGCAGCCAAACCTTAATCACAGAATCCGACCAAATTTGCAAGAAGAGCAGCTTAGAAACCTGGCAGGCACGTTGACTCGAATTTTCACGATAGCACCAGGCAGCAGAACCTTATTACGGAATGGTAGAATCGCCAGCACAGGCGGCAACGCACTCGTGTCTCCCACCTGCGCCTCAGCCATCTTTCCACAACAACAACAAACCCGCTCTCGCGTTCCAAAATTCCTCAGCAATAAATCAGCTCTCTTCTCAGAGACTCTGCACTTCTTCTTCGCCAATCCCAATTCCTATCTGCAAATTCATGCATGCGTAGCCATCGCTCCCGCTTCAGCTCCAAATCCCCGCCATGCATCCATTCTCCGTTTACAGCCAAAGAATTAAAAATAAAAAAACTCGTATACTCTGCAGCGGGGTTAGGATTATCAATCACCCCATAGCTCGCTCACCGACCTAGAATTACCGAATTGCGCACGGCGCAGTTGCTATTTTTTCTACGAGGGGGGGATACAATAGCACATAGCACACGGAGGAATAATATCACGGGGGGGATACAATAGCACATAGCACACGGAGGAATAATATCACGGGGGGGATGAGTTACGCCATCGCCGAGACAGCTCAACCAATCAATCAAACAAACACACAATCAAACAATCAAACACACAAACAATCAATCAAATCAATGAAGGAATGAATCGAGGAGGAGGGAACAACAAAACGGTGATAATATCATACCTTCTTCTTCGTCAGGGGAATGGATGGATGAATGGGTGGATGGACGAATGAGCGGATGAATGAGCGGATGGATGAATGAGTGGATGGAAATCATGGTCTCGGCCTCTCTTCCCAAGCCTCCCCCGCTGGCTGGGTGTATGGATGAATGATTCTCATCCAATGTCTTATTATTCTTTATTCTTTTGGGGGGGGGGTCACCTTTTTTTTTTAATAATAAGACAATGTTGGGTGTTGTATTCAACCCCCATGGCATGGTGTTTGTTTGTTTGGGTCTCTCTCATCGTGATTTTATTTTATTTATTCTATTTATTATCACTTCCTAGTGGTTAAATTACTTCTTTTCTTTTCTTTTCTTTTTATAGTTTTTTGTCTTTGATTTCTACCTTATTTGTGAATGATTATTTGTTATTCCTTTCTACTTCATTTGTTTAGCTAAATGTATATAAATCTGTTAAACTCGAAGAATATATAATTTATATTATAAAAAAAAGTACTGTTGATACATATCACTTTGTCCTTTTATTTTCTATCAATAAAATATTTGGGTTCCTTACAAAAGCTGTATTTCAAAGCAAATATCTACATTAATTTTTATTTATTTATTTATTGTAATGCAAACAAAGAAATAAAAGTTAGGTCTTCTTGAGATCTTAAATGCAAAAAGAATCAATTGTCTTCATTAAAGAGAATACAATAATCTGTCGAAAAAATATTGCTAATTTACTTACTAGACCACATTTGAAAATTCGAATTGCATGCCAGCACATGAATATTATGATTAGTAAAAAATTGAGGTATAAAACTTAAAATTAGTATTATCAAATTAAAAATTAATAGTAATGAAACCAATATAAATATATATATATATATATATTAAGTTTAACAAAAAATTGCAGTAAATACAAAGTACTTAAATCCTGTTAACATGACTACAATTATTGTAGTTTCTTATTTCCATGCATATCATACTTTACTTTTTACCTCTAATAAAAAGTAACTTGCAAAAGTAAAATTACAAAAAACTTGAAGCTGCAATCAAATACTTCAAAAAAAAATGAATAACTGAAACGTAGATTGTTTTTTGGATTATTTGAATATTAGAGGCCATAACAAATATGTGAATCAATATAAATATTTCTTATATTACTTTGACTTTTTTTTTAAAGAAAAATTTATATATATTAATAAACTTAATCAACATTAAGAAAAAAGAAAAAAATAAACAGAATATGTTTTATGAGCACCAGTTTTATTTTGTGAAATAAACCGTCCTTTAAAATATTCCATAAATTTATAAACACTCAATTTCTTTGTCCATATTGTATTCATGTATGCTCGATTGTTTTTTCATTTATTTTTGATTAAATTACCAAAACTTATACAATATCAATTCATGTGTGTGTGTGTGTATATATATATATATATATATATATATATTAGAAAGAAATATATCATCACTATATACCACACAGTTATGTATGTTGCATATTATTTGTAGAAATACTATAAGGGAGTCTTTTCTTTTTCTTTTTAAATATTCATAAATTTCCTTCAAAAAACAATTGTTTCCTAAACTTGTATTATATATTTTAGTTATTAATCTTCAAGTGAATTTGTTAATAAAATTATTATTACATGCTTAAATTAGTTGAAACATTCATGGCACAAAACAAATGTTGATGTTAAAAATTGATGAAAGTTTTCTAAAAAAAACCCTATTATCATCAATATATAAATTTGAAGTTCAAATTTAAAGTTAAATTCATTTTGGTTATTTTTTAAAAAATTATTTATTTCATATACTCTCAATTTCTTTGTTTATTGTCTAAAGAAGTGGTTTGACATCAAGTCATTATGTTAAAACTTTAAAATAACAATTTTGACGTCAAATTTTTTTGTAGTTAAGTGTATAAAAATAAAATTTACAAATTCTTTTGATTTGAGAATGTTGGAAACTTCTTTACTTGAAAACATAAGCTAATTTTTTTGGACCTTTTAAAGATTCAAGGATTGAGGAGAAGAATGGTAGTGAGTAAGAACACTTAAAAGCACATGTTTATTAATCTTTATTAGTAGAGTGCAGAAACATATTATTGGAGTTTACATAGAATATATGTGATTGTGAGTAATTTTTTTTTTAAGATTTTAAGTTGGATTTTAAGTTGGATGCATATGTATGTGTATATGTGTATATATATATATATATATATATGATTTTCTAAAAATTTATACTATATATATTTTTTTAACAGAACAGACGTTTTCACGTGTCATTAGAAAACATTACAGAAAAGATCACTTCTTTTTCATAATCATTTGAAAATGCAGTAATGTTCTAAAAGCAAGTAGAACTTCTAATATTATTTGGATGTTATAAAAAAATCTTTAAAATATATATATATATATATATATATATATATATATTTACATATTGATTTTTTTTAATTCTCTTGCTTTATTATTTTATCAAAGACTAGAGTTAGTGAAAAACTTGGCTTTGAATTTTAATTTTATTAATACCTTACAGTTTTAATACATATTTCAAAATGCATTTTCAAAACAATTCTTATGTCCAATATACAGACTTAGACACAAGGACCTAGTTCTTTACTTTAAAACAGGTTTTGTTACTACTTTAAGTAATTTTTCTGAGGGTAGGACTTTTTGAAGTAAAAACAAATACCTTTAGGTGTTTTTTGGAACAATTAAAAGAGATTTGAAATAAGAATACAATAACATAAAATTAAAAAATAATTAAAATCTTAAAAGTGACATCACCGTTTTGGTAACATAAACAAGGAATCAAACTTTTGCTAGAAACAGATTACGTTTATTTGTTTATTTATTTATAGAGTTGGAAGAACTAGATGCCATTAATACAGCTCAGTTGCATTGGACCCATGCATTGACTCTATTATTAAAATATTTTATAAATGTAGGGTCACTCCAACACTAGACTGTATGCTCTTAAGTATAAAATTCAGCACTTGAATGTAATCAAATCAACAAAGATTTGTTGTAAAACATCAAGTAATTCTTCATGAAGGGCAGAACAAGTACACAGTAAGTAGGAGGGTAGTGCTACTGCATTGAGAGGTAGTGACATAGAGATGGTCATTCTTATCAAGCTCACATGGAGCCTCAGAAACCCAGTTGTCCACATTATAAAATAAAGAAAGAACGAAAGAGCATAGAGCAATGAACCACGTGAAAAAAGAACACAATACACAACACAACAATAAAACACCACCATCACCACTTCAAACTCACAAACCCTAACTCAAACTCAATCAAACATGAAAAATCTCCATCCTCTAGGACCCTAAATCAAACCAACAAACAATCTGTTGGTGAAGGTTGAGAGAGTAACAACATGATTTAATTTAAAAGCATGAAGATCAATGTTTAGTGACTCAAAGAAGTAAAATTAACAGACAAACAAATTCATTAAAGAAAAGAGGAAGAGGGTATGCAGAATCATAAGCTTTGTGGGTACAAGCACACACACACACACACAATTTGTGTGATGATACATACATTGATTTACTTGTTTGTTTGTTTGGGGGTGTTAAGATTCTTCACCTCTGAAATTTTTTAGTTTTTTCTTTTTGTTTAGATTTGTTCTTTTTGTTCTCAAACCCACTTTGCATCCTGCCCATGAACCCAACTCAGCTTCTGCCATGTTCTCTATCACCCCACACAAACAGCTCCAGAAAGAGATGAATGCATCTTACCATTATCCCCATGGTTGTTATTCATTAATTCCATTCATTACATATATATATATATATATATATATATAGATTTTATTGATTCTCTGTGTGATTGTTTCTTTATGTCTGACCTTAAGACACAAGGAAAGAATGGGTACAAAAATCACAAATAAGACCACCATTCTGAGTGAGGATTTTTTTCCCCATGTGCACGTAATCCTTCACCCATTACTACTTGTGGGACAAATCTGCTGCCACCTCATTTTGGCCTGATTGTAGACGACTTTGCTGTTTGGGTCAAAAAAGCAAAATCCAATAGAAAAAACAGCATACTGTGTGCGTTCCCTGCTTGTTGACCCATTGCTGCTGCTGCTTCCGTATCCTTCTTCCAGTTGGGTAAGTTAGTGATGATTCCATCGAGCAATCTGGGCTTTTGTGTGGGGATTCTCTCTCTCTCTCTCTCTCTCGCTGGTGGGTTCACTGTGATGGTGCAGAATCATTCAGTAGATGGCTGGCCAGCTGCATTGCTACGAAGCTAGACAGATAGCTAGTTGGCCAGTTAGCTAGCTACCAGCACCACTTGGGTCAAGGTCTTGTTTGTACTTGGGCTGAAACCCATCTCCTCCGCTGCCACCATTTCCCCCTCCTTCCTTCCACTGGCAATGAGCACCTTCAGAGGTAGATCCTGCAGGTACATATTGAATGAAAGTTGCAGCATGGCGGTGATATGTTCTCAGGGGGGGAAAATTAATACGAAGAGGTAGAAGTGGAAGGAGCAGAGGACGTAGAAGAAGAAGAAGAGGAAGAACTGAAATTCTGCTTAAATTATTTGTATTTGTTTGTACATATGAAAGACTATAAGATGTAGAAAAATAGTGCTGGTTATAGATAGAAATATATATATATTTATTTATATATAAGTATTTAATACGAGAGCACAAACAGAATGCGAAATTATTACCCAGGAATTGATATTGGATGAATGAGATCTGAGCAGCACCAGGTTCTTTTATGTCGTGCACAGATTTCAAGCAGCATTTGAAGCACGCATGTGATGAGAACATAACTCACAGCATATCCGCAGAAAAGCCCCGTATCCCTTTGTGACGTGAGAATCTCCGAAGAATCTTGTGGGTTTGTGAATTCGTGGGGGGGAAAAAGGAATTTAGCCCTTGCATGGGGTGAATCTAACTATTTGTGTGAGAGTGTTTTGTGCGTCAGCCAACTACTTTCGAGCAGCCTTCATGAGCATGTTTGGAGAGCCCTTTGACTAAAGCTCAATAAATCAGGTTCCCACCTGCATGTTCTAGGAGATTTATGTCACTCGTAGGCTTCGCAATAAGGGAGGCATTGGGCACAGCTGATCAAGGCCTGAGTTTGCCTCAAGTACCATGAATCTGAAGGTCACGAATCTGAAGGTCACGAATCTGGAGTTTGGATACTGCCATGGTCTAACTTACAGCAACACTGATGACTGAGGACGACGCTGTCTGCAATCGGTTGCCCACAAACTGCAGTACATCCTGACCAAGATTCATGGCCATCCCAGGGGTGGGAGTATCCTACAGCCCCCCCACAGATCTCCAACGAGAAAAAGAAAAACACAGCTTCAAACACGGAACAGCCGATGCTGGTTTTGACTCTGAGAGGGGACAGTTAAAAGGTTCTTGTCGGAGAAGACTATCACTGAAGCGCCTGTGAATAGTCACTTGAGACAAAAGGAAAGGACTTGACGACCACGAAGGCGAAGCAGGCTAATATGTGTAAGCTCGTTCGTAGTTCGCTGGCTGTGTGCATGCTATGCTGGACGGGGGATGGGGCTTAAGTGAGAACCTTGCAGATTTGCCGTCTCCTGTTTGTGAAGAGCTCAACGAGTTGAGATCTACCGCGCCTTACCCCTCTTGTGTTGTTTGCAGTCAAGCAACCGCTTTATAGGAGCTCGGCCAGGCTTTTTCTTTCACTGTGAGCAGGTTGGCGGAGTGATGTAGTGTAGTGGTTTGGATTTTTGAAGAGGTGGAGGAAGGTAGGGGAGGAGGCAGGGAGGGAGGGAAGGAAGGCTTTTCTACTTAGACGAGGGCGAAGGGACTGTACTGTAGTTTGAGCACCTCTTCGTCGTGTTTTTGTTTCCACGACTGCGATGCTCATGTTGCAGCTTCGCAATGATGTTGAGGTTGCTGTCAGGAAAGCCAGTGGAGGGGGTAGCGCGTGACGGAGGTGTTGGTGAGGTGACCTCATATCGCTTATTTTTATTTTTGACTTCAGTCTACCTCCTTGGGCTACATATTAGGTCAGAGAGTTTCCATGGCTATGTTTTCTTGTTAACAGTTCCGTCCATGTGTCTGTGTTAATGTCTTGAAATGAAACTTGGTCTTCTGTCAATAGTATGGTGGCTATTTTAAAGAACATGTCTTAAGAGACCGAGTCTCCCTTATTTTTTCGGTTCTGTCACGGAAAAAACTCCTGCAGTTTCTAGCTGGAAGGGTTGCGTTGTTGATCTTTTGAGGCGTCTCAGAAAGGACTGCCTTGTCAAAGATGACTGACATCTGCATTTGTCTCGCATCAGAGACCCTCTCAGCTGTGAGCTATACTATTGACACTCTTCTGTGTTGAGCTTTGCTTTTCGCTACTGTTTCGTCTTATTTTGTGTCAGCATTGTTGTCGGGGCTGTACTCGAGCACTGTTCAGCCTACGGTGACCATAGCCACGGGTGTCATGTGAGTCAGCCTGGCTTGAAGTCGGTAAGAACACCAAGGGATCAAGTCACATTGCTCTATATTAATACTTGGCGACTCAATGCTAAGTGTGTGCTCACTTGGTTACTGTGCAGAATGTTGTGCAGCCAATTGCTGTTGAATCATCAAGCTTAATTATGTGTCACGATGACAGACACGGCGATGGGAAAAAATTGCAGCGGTGCATGCAGGCACACTAAGAGTATTTTCATTCAGGTGGCTTTGATTTCTAGCTACAGAAAACGCCCATCTCGTAATTAAAAAAATATTGATGGTATGTACAAGATATTTGACTGAAAAGGCCTTGGAATGCACACACAAATTATGGAGAGGGCAACTGGTGAGCTTCCGAAAGAGGTTCGGGAGAGTTTGCAAAGACAGCGAGGCACAGAACTAGCACGATGGTATACTTTGAGTGCAGCGCAGGAAACAGATGTATTCTCTATGACTATCCCTCTTTAGACCTAGCACTAGAGTCGAGTTGAGATAAAAAAAGAATTCAGCTCGAAGATGGTACTTGAGACTAGGTTCCGTCTTAGAAGTAACATGGTTAGCAGCTATTGTGAGAAGATGGCGGATAGATGAGAAAACTAGCAGATATTTATGTTCAGTTAAGCGAATTCGGGGACAACGATGGACAATTCAAGTTTGTTATTTTTTCGAATATTGCGGAATCATAAATTGAAACAATGACGAAGGGAAGATCACAGGCATGGCAAGGCTCCTTTGTATTGAGGCTTCAACTTAGGGAGATCATGACAACTGTGGCCGTCATGCATCGGCTGCTTTGTAGAATATGGTAGTGGTTTTGAGCAGAAGGAGACCAGAATGAACATCTCTAGGACTTTGTTTGGATGGTCTTCCCCGCATATTCAACCACTGACCCCCGTGTCGGAGGTCTCTGAACCACCAGAGTCGCCGTCTCCTTATAACCTTGACACTGGATCAGACTTTGGAGAGCAGGTCAGTTCGTTTACAAAGGCTTCAGTTCTGTCTGGGTTCGCTAAGTACAAGTCATCCAATTTCATTGTCCTCGTGATTAAATGCTTTAGAACCATTTAGATTTCTAGAGGCGGCGAAAGGGGAGCCCAGAGGTGCAGAATGTGATGCAATTCAGACTTGAAATCTGTTCATTTAACTAGTTTAACACCATGATACGAATCTAAGCTTGGAAAATTGGGCTTACGAATGAACAGGTACAACAAGACTCCGTTGCAGAAGAAGTTGAAGAATTAGATCTGCCGTCGCCACCCACTGTTCCCTTCGCGAAGCTTTTCGTTTACGCAGATGCCTTGGATTGGATTCTTATGACCTTTGGCAGTATTGCTGCAGCTGTCCATGGGGCAGCCCTCCCTATTTTCCTGCTTTACGTGGGAAAGATAATCAATTTATTTGCACTGTATCAACATGACTTGCATTTGAATCGTCAACATCAGATTTCCTCAGCATCTCAACACGCGTTGGCCGACGAAGTAGAAAAAGTAAAATTATAAGCCCTTGTCTTTTCTGATGTTGCTCTTATTCTCTATCACCAAATATTTTAAATTTATGTGATATCTAGCTGTGTAATTGATGGTGATGACAGCTTTTCATGTTAATGGAGATTCTTGGTAAACATTTCTAGGCTACCTTTGTGACGGGGTCCTTATTGGTTGTCAACACTTTTCAGTGGTTCTTCCTGACTCCTCTTCAAGAACACTACAGATTCGAATGATCTTGTAGAGCTACATGGGAATGTGTTGCACTAAATATCTACATGGTGGGAATTTGCAGCATGCATTGTACATAGTTTACATTGCTGTGGCCGTTTTTGCTGCTGGATGGGTAGGTTAGTAACTTTTCTCGAAACCTTCACCTGTTCATTGCCTTGATCAACTGCACATCCGAAACTCACTCATGTATGTCAGGCGTCCAAATTTCCAATCACTTCACTTTGACCTTGGAGTAATTGTCTACGTCTTGCATAAGGATACACCATTAATCTGATTCAACCCCGAATCTTGTCAGAGGTGGCTTGCTGGCTCTACACAGCGGAGAGACAATCAGCTGTTTTACGGTCACAAGGAGTCCAGATTCTGTTGCACCAAGATCTGGGCTATTTCGACCACTTTGCTGGAAGCGGCGAGTTCGTGAGTCAAATATCGAAAGATGTCCTCTCTGTACATGACATCCTTAGTGAAAAGGTGCTGAATGTTCTCTTATTCTACTTTGTGTTCAGCGCCAATTATTATTTTATTTTATTTTTATACTCTTGCAAGGAATGGACAATCGTGACATAATTCACCGGTAATTTGTCGCAGATTTTGACGATTCCCTGGCTACCATCTAAGAATCTAATCCCATGTTTCTTGACCTTGCTGCCACACAGGTGGACAACTACATCCACAATATGGCAACCTGCGTAGCCAGTCTCACAGTGGGCTTCATTTGCTGCTGGCCTGTAGCTCTTGCGACTTTGTGCACAACACCCTTCATACTAGCCGCAGGAATCGTGTCTAATCTGTTTCTTACTCGTCTTGCCGAACACGTCCAAGAAACTTACTCTGAAGCTGCGCTCATCGCGGAACAGGTTTCACTCTCAACTTTCAATTCAAAAGTGTGCATGGCATATATGATTGCAAAGGTTTTGATTTTTGATTTTGATTTTGATCGATTCAGATAGATGCAGAGCTTTTCTGCCGAGCCGTTTATTCTTTAGCCGGCCTCTGAATGACATCACAATGCAAGGAGCTAAATTAGACACTGCGATACGTTTCGACTAGAGTATTGTTCAAATGGATTCACTTGGTTGGTTCATGTTCGTTGTCATGTTCTTATCTGCAGGCAATCCTGTACATCAAGACAGTGTATGCTTATGCAAATGAGACGATTGTGAAGTATGCTTATGCCAATGCACTTCAGTCCACCCTGCAATATGGGGTGCAGATAAGCCTTGTCCAAGGGCTTGGACTTGGATGCATCTACGGAATTGCCATGTGCTCATGTGCATTGCAAATGTGGATCGGTTGGTATTTAACTACACGTCACAAAGCTAATGCCGGACAAGTAATTGTAACTCTGTTTGCCATAATCCTTAGTGGCTTGTAAGCGAAACCTCACCCTAATGTCGATTCATTCTTTTTTCTGGCTTGGAAGTCTAAATTTCATTTGCAGTACGTGTTGGCACATTTCGAGTTGATTTCATGTCTGTAGTCTCAAACACGACTCTCTGGGACTTGATTAATTAACTGATTGATGCTATTCATGTTCATCCTTTGTTCTCCTTATGGGTTGTTTTGCAGAGGCTTGAACCAGGCAGCGACCAATTTTCAGGCCTTTGATCTTGGCAGAGCCGCAGCACACCGATTATTTGATCGAGTTCTGAAGAGCAAGCTTCCAACCAACAGTAGTGTAGCAGCGGATGACATGGTCACTTTGAGTGACGTACAAGGCAACATTGAGCTCCGGAATGTTTACTTTAGTTATCCGAGCCGTCCTGATGTGCCAGTTTTAAGTGGACTTTACCTCACACTTCCTGCACGAAAGACGCTGGCACTTGCAGGAAGTAATGGCTCAGGGAAGAGCAGTGTAATTGCTTTGATTGAGCGTTTTTACAGCCCTACATTAGGTGGGTGCTAGTCTCACCTGCTTTCGTTTAAAGGGGGGGTTGTGAAGCATTTTATTTTCCCCAAAATAATCAGCAACTTGACGACATGTAAATAACAATCTTAGCATGATTAGAAAGGCTGTTGCTTTGGTGAACCTGTAATGGTCAACGAGGAGGTCAATTTCTGACACCTACTGAGTTCACTCTAGTATCTGTGATTCTGGATTGGCAGGTGAAGTTCTTCTCGATGGAGAAAACATCAGAAACCTCAATGTGGAGTGTTTGAGGAGTCAGATTGGTCTCGTGAGTCAAGAGCCTGCTCTCTTTGAGGGTAGTGTTAAAGATAACATTTTGTATGGTCGAAACGCAACAACAGATGAGATTGAAGAGGCAGCTAAGATTGCACATGCACACACCTTCATCAGTTCGCTTCCAGATGCTTATAATTCCAAGGTGAGTCTTAATTGAGTTCATCCTTGATATCAGCACATCTCTTGAGTTACAAATTTGTTGATTTAGGAAAAGATGTAAAAAGAACATCAGAAACCACATGTGCGTCTGTGTATCATGAATTTGCAGGTTGGCGAAGACAGTCTGCTGTTCACCCCTGAAAAGAAGCTTCGAATCGCCATAGCTCGAGCAGTTCTCAAAAATCCACGCATTCTTTTACTGGACGAAGCAACAAGTACCCTGGAGATGGAGGCGGAGCAGAGCGTTCAAAAAGCACTTGATATCTTAATGCTGGGCCGGTCCACAATCGTCATAGCGCATCGTCTTGTTAGCATCCGCGGCGCGGACATGATTGCTGTCCTCGAAGAAGGACAACTCGTTGAGATGGGCACACATGAGGAATTGTTGAGAGTGGATGGAGCGTATGCTGACTTAATCCGTCTTCAGGATACAGCAAAGCAGCCACGGAGGTTCGTATTTCTACGTTTCCAAGTTCCTTTTGGACTTGGTGGCAGTCCTTCAAGCCATAGAATAAACATCCCAAATCCCTTCTATCTAAGATCAATTTGTCCACTACATTTGATGACTTGCATTGCTCATTGTAGGCCTCCGCCGAAGACGTTTGTACCGGCTCCACATCAAGACAATGTTTCTCCGAATTATAGCAGACCTGTTTCACCTCTACCACCATTTTGCCTCGGTAAGAGTGTTCGCGAGCTGCCAGCCAGCGACAACATGTTCGAATCACCTCCACTGTTGGTTAGCCCCCCAGCAGATCGGAAGGCAGACAACATCGTTCCAAATGATCCAAAGTTACAAGAAACGAAAGGAGAATCAATTCTAAAAGCAAGGGATGCTTTTGATAACACATACCTCAAGAGCTTGCCTCGAATCGATGTGCACCACCAACGTCAAAAGTCACACTACTCAAATAATTCAAATCCTTCCACTCCAGAGTCGCCTATATCTCCTCTTTTGAATTCCGACCAGGATGAGAGATCTCACTCCAAGACCTTCAGCAGGTCCCTATCCCAGGCCTACGATCTGAATATGCCTCTTGAGAATCAAGTCGTCGAAAGTGAAGACATTCCTTCGTGGTGGAGGTTGGCGATTTTGAGCACTCCCGAGTGGTTCTGTGCATTGCTCGGCAGCGTCGGGGCTTGTTTGCTGGGCTTTTTCAACCCTCTCTTCGCACTTTTGATTGCACAGGTAGCAGAGACGTACTTTTATGGAAACAAGAGAATCATGTGGCACGAGGTTTCAAAGTGGTGTCTGCTGGTGGCGGGTATGGGGCTGGCCACTGTCCTTTTCAACTTCTTGCAACATTTCTATTTTGGCATCATGGGAGAGAAAATGACTGAGCGGGTGCGCAGACTCATGTTTTCAGGTGAGCGTGTAACGTGCGCAAGTTGTGTACTTCATCGATTCAGAATTGTGAATCATATACATAAATCCAGTAGTCTACTATCCTGTGAAAATCAGTCGAAGTAATGAGACTTTCCCTAAGGACTTGCTGCAATGGAAGAGCCCTTCAAGCAACCAAAGTTGTGTTTAGGAGCAGACATGGTGCACAATGGATGTGTTTGGAACTTTGGCTTGGAACATTGACACTCTTGATGACCGATGATGACAGCTATTCTGCGAAATGAGGTGGCTTGGTTTGATAGAGAAGAGAATAGTGCAGAGCTCCTGTCCATGCGTTTAGCTAACGATGCGACTTACGTCAGAGCAACTTTCAGCAACAGGCTGTCAGTTTTCATCCAGCAATTCACATCAACAGTATTGGCATTGACTTTGGCTTCGATCATGCACTGGCGCTTCGGATTGGTGTCCTTGGCTACTGTTCCGCTACTCATTACCGCTTCTATCTCTCAGGTATAGCATCTAACGCAATTTTTTAGCATTTGACATAATTAGTGTTCTTTACTGATGACATTGTCACACCATCTCGATCTTCATTTTTTAATTAATGGTATTCAATTTTGTGGCATGACCACTTGCAGCACATGTGGAACTCGGGATTTTCAGGAGACATGAGGGGAGCCCACGACCGAGCGCGGCGAGTGTTGGAGGAAGCTGTGGCCAACATTCACACTGTCATGTCCTTCTCAGGAGGGCAGAAGGTGCTGCAGCTTTATTGCCAGCAGCTCAAACAACCTCTTCGGCGAAGCCTCGTGAGGGGGCAAGTCTGTGGCATTGCATTCGGTGTATCCCAATTCTTCCTCTTTGCTTGCAACGCCTTCCTTCTTTGGTACGGCTCCCACGTCTTGCGCAGAGAAAGCAACACGAGCTTCCCAAATATTATTAAGGCGTACCTTGTATTCACATTCACAGCATTCTCTCTAATAGAGGTCTTTGGACTGGGACCGTCTGTTTTGAAGCGGCGAAAGAGTGTAGCTCCAGTGTTCAGCATCATCAATCGTCGCTCACAAGTGGAGGGGCTAGGAGATGACGCTGGACAAAAACCATCTCACCTCGTTGGCCTTATTGAGTTCCGAGACTTAGAATTCAGGTTTGACCAAGGATCTAAGAAAACACATGTCGATTCTGGAAGTTTTAAACAGATTTCTTCATACAGTTGTGTGGATGGCGTATTAATTTTCTGCTGCAATTACCCTCCAGGTACCCAATGCTACCAGAGTTTCCCGTGCTGACCAAGTTCAACCTGAGAGTGGCACCGGGTCAGACAGTGGCCCTCGTTGGCACGGCAAGCTCGGGCAAGAGCACAGTCCTTGCCCTCTTGAATCGATTCTACGAGCCTCTCAGTGGCCAAATCCTGCTGGACGGCAACGACCTTGGTTCTCTCAATCTCCACTGGCTCCGAAACCATGTGGCCACGGTGCAGCAGGAGCCCGTTCTCTTCTCCACCTCCATCAGGGAGAACATCATTCTTGGGCGACATAATGCTACCGACGCTGAGGTCATCGAAGCTTCCCGGATTGCTAACGCCCACCATTTTATTAGCAGCTTACCCCACGGCTATGACACCCACGTTAGGATGGCTAGTTTGCAGTTAACCCCAAGCCAGCGGTTGCGCATCACCATAGCGCGTGCTGTGCTGAAGAACGCCCCGATCCTGCTCCTTGACGAGCCCACCAGTAACCTCGAAGCCGAGGCCGTGAGAGTCGTGCAAGAGGCAGTGGAGCATCTCATCACAGGCAACCACACCACTCTGGTGGTGGCTCACCGGCTGGCGCTTCTGAGACGGGTCGATCTGGTGGCCATGCTGCACGATGGACAGATTCTAGCGGAGGGCACCCACGATGAGCTGATGAATCGGTGCGGCCCGTATGCTCGCATGATGCAGCCCCAGTTCAGCAGCAGATCCATCAAGCTGCACCACTCCTCCAGCTGATGCATTCGTGTTCTTCACCGGCGTTGTGATGGAATTCTTTCAGATTGATGTCCTGTGCCTTGCCTTGCACTTTGTGAACTGTGTCGGAACTTGCCTTGCATTGACTTGTTATTTTATTGCTGAAGCATCAAAGCGGTCTTCAAACTGGGTTTCTTACCGACACCATGATCTCTTGTCAAGTGTGCAGTTTTGAGCATCTTTCTTTTTTGTTTTGTTTTGTCAACTGAGAGGTTACAACTCTGACTTGTATGCTGCTCTTGCCGCCGCCGCTACCGACAACAACCAGCTCCCTAGTGTTGGGAAGGGCGTTGACTTGTGAACTGTGTCGGAAATCGAGGAGCTTCAGAGAATCTTCCCGAGTCAACGCGGTTGAATATTGCATGTTGAACAGTTTTCAGTGGATATTGTTGTATGATGTGCTGGTCCACCAGTACCTTCCACGTCTTGCCACTGTTGGCTTCAGATTCGATGACAATCTCCTTTCCTTAAAAATCTGGTTGTTTTTCCTCCTTTTTAAAAATTAATTAAAAATATAAACTCATTTATCAAAATACCAGAAGTTTTAAATCCATGATAATCATCTTCCCCGTTCAACAAACTCTATCGGATGTATTCACTTATCTGACTTCAGCTATTATGACATAAAATTACACAGAAATATTATTTTCATGGAAGTGATTTTCTGTGATGCTTTTTTTCTTCTTGCACCTTAATAATTAGTTGAATTTTGGTAAGACATCCCAATAAGCAGTTGATTTTGTGTAATATAGACTTCTCTCACTTATTTTAATGATTTCAATTTTTTCAATAATAGCAACAGATGGATATTAAGTTAAGCATACAGAAATTTGTGTAAGTCCCAAGCATTAGTAGCAAACACAAGACTTCTTGATAAAGTTTAGCATGTTGCATCAACAAAATATAAATCTCGAAATAATATTTTACCAAAAGGAAGGAAAAGCATATTAGTAAACTTAATTTTCATGTTGAATATTTATAGATGTTATGTATATGTGTATATATATATATATATATATATATATATACACACACCTCTTTATTGTTAAAAGAAAATTATGTCAAAGGATAACAAAACTTATTCAAATCTTGAATTACTAAATATCTCAAAACTAATATTATTTACTTCATTATAAAAAAATGTGACGTTTAGAACTAAATAATATATTACTAATCAAAATTTATTTTTATTATTGTGATGATATAAGCATCAGTAATTTAAGCTTGATGAATATTATCATAATACCTTTAAATTTCATGTTCACAAATTTTCAAACACTATATATATATATATATATCTATATATATATATATATATATATATATTTAATAAGTTGCAATTTGTTCATTATAAATTAATGGATAGTTTTTTCCTTAAAATAGCCTAAAACATTTACAAACCTATGCAGCCAAACTATTGATATTGAGTTATTACAATGCAAATGCATATAACTATTTTTTCTTAAATATGAATTACATTGAATAAATACTAATATAGTTTACACAACATCCCTTATCCTACCCATAGAGACTCATGTATACCATCAACATGGGAGTACAGAAATTTTAAGTAAATAGTGATGCTACACATGTGCAAATTTCAACATAATTTTGTGAATTCAACAGGAGTAATAGACTTCAATGGAGCCCAAGTTGCAGCAAGCTCTTCATCATTCTTGCCATTGTGGGAAAAGAACAACTCTTTGGAACACCACCACAAACACGGAGACGAGATGCAGGCATATGCTATCATTAATAATGATCTAGAAATACCATTGGAATGGTAAGGCCAAAGCATAATAAAATACATTCCGATACATGTCAACCACGGCACGAGGACGGGGATGAATGGGAGTTTGAATGCTTTGGCAATAGAGAGTAGAAGTGAAAAGGATCCAAAGAAAAAAGCCCCCCATCCAAGAAGCGGATGAACGGTTGTAGGAACTACGAGGAATGGCAAAATGTAACACCCACTCAAACTAACCACGAGCATTGCTTTCACCACCCGTGGGTGACACCGAGGTATATGAAAAGATTGAGCACTTCTCAAATTCATTCTTCCCGAGTTGTTATTCTTTTCTTGTGACGTTACTAATTGCTTCTGTATAAATAGAGTTGCAAAAAGACAAAATAAATAGAGCAGGATTTCTATCACAAGGATGTGTATCTCACCACTATATCTGCAAGGTATAAACCTACCCATTGTAAGTAAGTAAGTAAGTATATATATATATATATATATATATATATACAATATTGGCAATGTTGCCATAGTTTGTAACAATATTCATATATATATATATGGAGAGACAACAATAGAATTCAACCATGCAAATTATTGGCTGATTAATAGAAATGAACAAATCAATTCCACCATTGAAAAATGCACTTGCCCTATAGTTGCTTGACGCTTATCATGCCATAATATTCCTAAAGGCAAGGTTGGATATGACCACCAATACCACGGCTTCAACATTGGAATGCTTGGAAATGTAATGACACTGTTTTGGCCACAAGGAACATTCCATTTAAGATTCAAATCTGCAAAAGTTATTCAACAAAAAACACAAAAAAATCTTAAATTAGAATATATATATATATATATATATATATATATATTTTTTTTTTTTCATGTTTTTATGAAAACTCATGCTCTATAGAGGTCCCTAATATAATATTCCACCAACAAAGTATTACTTAAAATGGCATGAACACAAACCATGAGCGCTTACAATACAATGCCGCATCCATTTGATAGCCTTGGGGCAAGCGATAGAGCCCTGTGAGTTGTTGGAAAGGTAGATGGGGAGGATGGAACAAAGGGCGGTCTAAAAGATCATGGAAATATGATGTGAGGAACCCTTGATCTGCTCCATCCAATGGGTTTGGCACTTCCCTTTGTATTTCCTCAAGCATATTATTGAATGTTTCATTTGATGGCTACACAAGGAACCGTTGCTTATATTTGGTGTGATTCTTTTCTTCATTAGGTACGCTCCCTTCAAAACTTAAAATAAACTAAAATGAAATGTTATATATATATATATATATATATGGGTGTGTACATACTTTCACATGAGAGAGCGAGAGAATGAAGATGCTAACCTTTAAAACAAACAAGCCTGAATGGAAGATGCAAGGGTTAAGAAAAGCAGCACAGAATTCACCGCACTGGAATAATTCATCAGGGGCTCGTATGAATACATTATCAACGTCCAACATCACCACTCGCTCATATTCAGTTAAAGTCCATGCATATATCTTATTGAGAGTGTGTTTGAATCGCTTCTCAAAATTACGTCTCTTTGCATAAGGGTTATGTATGTCTTCCACAACTTTAACAGTGACATTCTCCTTTTTTCTATTTTTTTCAAAAAAGAAGAAACAAACATTAAAAAAAAAACTAAACAAAACAAAACAAAAGTATCCTTGTCAATGATGAAAAACTTCACCTTTATGATAAAAAAAAATCAAGTATTGAGCTATAATTACTTTGTGATAAAAAAATAAAAAATAAAATCATTCAAATCTAAAGAATGATGGTTTATGAAGCCCCAAAATTAACAAGCAACAGATTACAAATAATCACGGAGGTTGATACTTCCATTATCTTTCTAAATTATATGTACAAAGAATATAAACAACTGAAATATCAATTGGAGCTATAATCCCATATAAACATTAACAAGAAAAAAAAGAAAAAAGGAAGAAGAGTTAAAGCCTTAATCCTCTGCAAATCATTTTGGCAAAAACAAACACAACAAAAGAGTTTTTATTTAACTTACAAGATATTCAACCATGGACGTGGCACAGATGCAGAAGCAATGAGGACGAGATCCGCATTTGCTTTGAGGGAGGCAAGGCTTTGAAGTAAAACCCGAGCCGCTACATAAAACTCGTAGTCGCGAGGAGTGCCCCCATAAAGCATGGTAGCGTAAGCATTCCTCGTCTTCGTTTGCCCTTCCAACACTCTTGTTCCTTCTTCACTCTCTACAACACTTGTGCCCATGCTCACTTGGCTCACAATTAACATGACCCACACCACCCATGCCACAACTTTTCCCATTTCCCTTGCTCTTGCTCCTTTTTCTTTGAATATAGAAATAAAAACCAATCAGCAGTTTTCTAATAATAGTAAATATTGACTTAGGGTTTAATAGCGTACTCCAAAATGGTGAAGGAAATTTGTGAAGAATGCAAAAATGTTGTTGTCAAAATGGAAAATTGAAACAATGTATTATTGCAATTCCTTTGTGTAAATTTTCTAAAAAATAACAATGTATTATGAACTGGTTGTGTGTTCAATAAATCTGATGTTAACTGTGATAGGAATACTAATTTTTGTGTAGTTGTTTTTTATAAGAACTTTGAAATTTAAGTACAATAGGTGGTTGCTGTTTTTGTGCTATCACAGGTTTAAGTTTATCAATATTTCAATTAAATAAAATAAATTGTGTAAGAATTCTACACCAGTGCAAGAATGAAAACTATGGTTTACATTGAGAAACCTCAGGGCATTGAAAAGAAGTTTGGTTTCTGTGATATAAACACAAATAGTCCACCAGAGAAACCTCAAATGATGAATAATCTCACACAGTGTTGAACATTGAATTATTGCACAGATGAAAAATCACTTGTTAATAAAATTTTGTAGTTAACTCTAAAAACGAACCAAAGAATGGTTCGATTATAGTTACAAAAACGTGCAACATGCACAAAAAGCTTTAAACCTGAAAAGAAATATGTACGCACACATATGTACATGTATATGTATTGAAGTTTACATGTTTTTTATGCAGTACAACGACGTAACAGAGTTCTTTTTTTTCTTCTTCCAATGGAAGTAAAATCAGCAAACTTAATGGAAATATTTGTGAAAGTGTTTTAAGACAAAGATTAAGTATCAAGATGTGAATCTGGAAAATTGAAACAAATGATGTCACTATTAATAATTTCTAATATAAATTGTATTTAAAAACTCAATGGCGCTTTTATTATTTTATTTTAATTAAGCTTTGTATTCAATTTTATGTCTGGAAAGTTTATGTGATCTAAAAAGAATACACTAAATTAACATAATTAAAATTAAAAATTAAAATCAATATTGAAAGTAAATGAAGGATTACCTCATGAAAAATAACTATAAAAAAATGTAAGTCTTAATTATAAATTAAAAAAAGCCACGGATTTTATTGTTTGAGGATAAAACTATAAGTCGTGTTTTCCATATTCAGTTTATATTAAGTATAATCTTTATGTATCATATAAGTGCACAGGAATTAACTGCTGAAGGAAATGAGTTCTGGTGAAGGTGTTATTTGAGCCATATAAAATTCTTTTTTTCTTTTTTTCTTCCATTATGTACTTGGAATTTTATTTAACCAGTACAAGTCATTAAAAAAAGAAAAAGAAAAAAAGAAGAAGGAAAGAATCATGTTTAAATGTTCAAATAATTACAGTGCAGGTAATCGTCCAGTTTATTATGAGTTCATGGTTAATTGATCCAATCAATTCATATTTTTAGTATGTATAAGGTTTATGATTATATGTATATCTCATAAATTAATAATTTTTAAAAATTATCTAGTATCGTGCTAACCCAATACCCATGAACAATTATCAGAGATTTACGTTTATGTCTCGTGCACAACTTGTGCATTCTGATATTAAGCCTTGTGTTTAACTTTACCTCAAATTAGGTTAACTAATTATGCACAAATTCTCCCATAATCTTCAAATTTCTCTCAATTTTCTTTAAATAAAACACCCATTCTTTCAATCATATGTTTATAAGTTTTTCATTGCAAGAGCATGGTTTATACATTTTAAGATAAAAAAAAAGTAAGAAATTTGTACAATTTCATTTTTAAAATTTTAATTAATTTTTTTGTGAATGAAATAAACAGATTCAGATTCATTTGAATCTTAAATGTTTTTCTCTTGAAGCTAATCAAGTCAATTATACATATTTAGAGTTGTTCCTTTTCCAGCATCATCTGCATTTGATTTGATTTATTTATTTTTTAAATCCATAAAGATTATTCATTAAAGTTTTCATTAAAATATATTTATGCATAGAGAAAAAATACAATTATTACTCTAAATGTATCCTAAATCGTGTATAAAAACCATTATTTAAAGTATAATAGTTGTATTATATTTTGAAATCACAAAATTATCTAATTATATAATAAATTTGGTAGCTTGGTTGATAAGATTTTAATACCCTATTTTAATTTTTTTTTCAAAGTAGTACTTAATATATATTTTTTTACAACCATTATAACATTATTTTTTTGATGTATAATTTATTAAATTTTCTTGTGTGTTTAAAACTTTAAGAAATAAAAGTTGATAAAGAGTACAAGTAGGCTGGTGTTAAAAATCAAAATGTCAACAAATATAAATGCTCCAAATAAAAATTGGGAAACTGCAAAAACTTTCTTTTACACTTGGAACATTGTGAACATTTGAATGCATTCAAATGTTCACAAATAATGTATTCACAAGTTTTTGCAGTTGAAACATTGTGTTGAAACAAACGCACATGCATTATACATGTAAAGTACAAAAGGGAGTTAATGTGGGACATATAACATAACACACAAAGAGACTTTGTTTCCTCAAAGAATTTGTTCAGTTGGTTAATAATTTTAGAAGTTAAATCAAGACTAGGGACATACATATGCAGTTGTGTATGCCTTAATCATTAATTTTTACAAATAATTCTCTACCTTTCTCCTTTCTCAACAAGTCATGTTTTCTATTGAATTTCATGAAAATACAGTATCACTGATCCCTAAAAACATTTCCACCCAACCAATTCTCCTCACTCAACACCCCCACAATCTTGTTCATTGATTGCATCCACAACTCCAACATCCAAAAAAAAAAAAAAAAAAACATAAAAGAACAAAAACAAAAACAAAAAAATGTTTTTTCATCAATCCTAAACCTAAACGATAACCCTAATTTAGAACCCACAATACACACACCTCAATGAGGATACAGGAAAATGAAGCTCGCATTCCTGGTTGCTGCAAGCAAAGCTTCACATACCCACACAGTTATGAATAGTCCAGAGGTAACATTTTATTGATCGGAGTGAAAGCCTCAGGGCTGAAGACTTTATATTAATATTGAATTCAGCTTGAATTTCTAAGGCACACTTGTGCAACAATCTCTTTGAAAACGTGCAAATATGGTATTTGTCTTCAAGTTGGTACCAAATAGATATCTTTTTTTAACATGCCCATCTCATCCCCACTAAGATTAGGATTAGGGTTTATTTCTGTAAAAAAGAACAAAAAATATTGTAGTTATTAAAAAATGTAAACAAATAATTAAGTTATAAAATATAATAGTATTATTAGTATATTTGAAAATAATTTAATTTAAAAAATTAATAACAACAATAGCTCTTGTTATGAACAACTTTGATTTTGTAGATTATAAGTTTTTATTAAAGAAAAATAAAATTATTGTACAAAAGATTAATTTGTATAGATATTATATACTTTAATAATATAGTTCAATTAATACTTGTTTTTTAAAAAAAAAGTAATTTTAGTAATTGAATTTTATATTTTAAGGGTTTTTTTTAAAGAATACATAATTTAATTGATCTTAGAGCGCAATTTAATATATATATATATATTTTTGTGAATAGAATGTATTATCTTAATTAGAACGTCATAGAATTATTTTAATGTTATAATTTTAAAACCTTAAATTTTTTTTATATAGATAAATTTTATGTTGTAATATTCTTTTAGTATAATTTAAATTAAATTCTAGAAATATCATAAAAATATATATGCATAAGTGAAAGGATTTTAAACTTTCAAACTATGACAACTAAATATTATTTACACAAAAAGTTATAAAAATATTATCATACTATATTACATACATTATAATATAATTTCTAATAAATTCAAATACACATCATTCATTCATATATATATATATATATATATATTGATAGAAGTATTTAAAATGTCCATTTCCGTTTCAAAAATCATGTTAAGATGGATAGTGCTTGATGCTTGAAATGTAGTTGTTTTGTTACTACTTCTTTCCAGAAGTGTTGTAAAATGTGGTAATAAGAAGAGATCTCTACTATCAAATGCTTATACGAGTTTTTTACAGTACTTTTTATTCTTCTCTTCAAAGTTTATTTACTTGTAATCTCTAAACAATATTCATATGTAGTTGGAATATTGTTAGAGGTTATTTTAATTGTATTTTTATTTTTCTAATAAAATTAGAAAGCTTTCTATTTGCCTATAAATTATATTTAAATTCTATTGCAATATAAAAGCAACTATTTTTTAGCTTTGTTATTTTTATTTTCTAGAGCCAAATTAAAATATTCATTGATTATCTTTTAAACATTCTTTCTTTACTTTTAAAGTAAAAAATCTAAATATTCTTTGCATAAAATTAGAATCATATAATTAAAAGATACATACAAATGCTTCAATGCACTATGGAGATAAAAAAAAGAAGAAGAAAGAGGTGTTTATTATATTATATTATTTATAATTTATTTTTATTTATTTTTCATTTTAAAACACTTTTTTTTAATATATTTGTTTGGAATTAATACCTTGTCAATATTTTTATTGAGTTGCTTCAATTGTAAAATGTATTGAATTTAAAATAGAACTTACACCTACAAAGTACACAATAACCATATAACTCCTAAAGAAAACCGTCTCTACTTTCACAATCTCGATTCTAATTGAAATCTTGTGAAAAATTATGTGAAACAAAAATTCAACATTGTTACTTATGTAATCAACTGAACATTTTTGATTTAAAAAAATTATTATGAAATTACAGATTTCCCCCAAAAGACCCATTCTATTAAACAACTTCAAAAAAACATCAAATCTATCAAATGCTTATCCATCTCTAATCTCACTGTATCAACATACAACATTGTCATATCTGTCCCAAACCCAAATGAAAACTGACCATGACGTGGGAATTGAAAACTTAGGAAGAAGCCCACTTTATAGCCTCTTTGACTTATGGGTTTCTATTTCTAGTCCATTGATTGCGATCCCTTTCATAGTTTTACATGTATACCTCACTTCTTTGCTCAGAAAATTATTCCACCCTAAACTAATTTTAGCCTGCAAAACTAAAGCTGACTTGGTTGCATTGCTATCAGGAAAACAGTGTCAAAGCAAAAGAAAGAATGTCTTCGGCAGATCAATAGACAACCTGCAAAACAAATTTCATTTTTGAGCTGAACTTCATCTGTTCACTCCATGATTGTTAACCTTGTGGGATGCATCACACGAAATTTATAATCGCTCAGAAGTAATTGCTACTGCAACTAATTTAGTTTTTACAGGAGTTTCACTGTGCTATATATATATATATATATATATATATATTTTTTTTTTTTTGTTTTTTTTTTTTTTGTTTCGGATACTGATTGTGTAAGAGCTTGGGAGGTCTTTGAATTTGATTTCAACAATAGCTCATGGATACATGATAACACGGAATTCAGCTTACCTTGCCGAAGCGTGAGGTGTGTCTTAGGAATCGAACCTTTTCAACTCATTTCCCGGCACAAGTACTGTGGCTACCGATTCTCTTGTTGATTCCAAGAAGGGTAACATCAACTAAGATTCTGTTCTTTTGTGAGTTGACGACAGCTGTGAAAAGCATAGGGAATTACGTGCGATCCTTGTGACAGCAGGTGTAGGAAGTATGATGTAAACAAATGATGACAAGTTCTGTGAATCCCTCACATGTGCAATGATCTCCGGAAGCGAAGGACTGCTTTTTCAACACCCCCAACACAGTTTTTCATGAGATGTGGATGTGCAGATCTAGCCAAATTCTGACGCAGGACGGGCAAAATTGTATCTACGATTCGCCTTCCGGGTACACTTGGGTCCGGGTACATATACTCATCACGTGTCTTTCTTGCAGAGTCTCATCGCCATTTTTATTCACCAGTTGTCGTATAGTCATGTTGCAGTGGCAGTGTCGCCCGGATGCACTCTGTTTGATCAGATGTCCCAGTTTCTCTTAACTAGTCGAGGTGTATCTTCTAATGAAGAATCAAAAGTTATTGGTTATGCAAAGGCTTAGCATGGGGGTTGAATGTTGCTGGGATTTTGGTTGAGATGTCGAAGCATGGTGCGAAGAGAGAGAGAGAGAGAGAGAGAGAGAGAGAGAGAGAGCTCGAATTGGGCTTTCCTTAGTCTAGTGACTCTGTGTTACTTAGGTTGTAGACTTTTGCGACATTCGGATCGGTATTGATCCGATCTGGACGTGATTTTTGTTTCAGAATTGCTGAGATAGCGCACAGACTCATCGAGTTCTGTATTAATGTTTGTATTTTTAATACGAGATTGCATGTGGATTGTAGTTTCTTTCCTAGAGTAGTTGCTGCGACATTTGAGAGGGCAACATTATTAGCTCTGGAGTTTGCCATTAAAGGCCGTATGAAGAACTTGCAGGGGGCGGATACTGCACCAAGAGGTCTGAAAAAGAAATTTCTGTAAGCATAGTAGAGATCCTGAGTGGTTCTGTGCATATGCTAAACATCCATCATCTTGGTCTCATTTAAGTCCTTAAGGTGCTCCAACCCGTCTATCAAAGATTACTTATTTTATAATCTTTTTGCAATTATAATTCAAAAGAAGAAATCTAAAACTCAATGGATTAAATGGCTTCTAAGTCATGGACCAAAGAAAAAAATAATGGCTTTAGTTGTCACTTTAAAGGTAGCCCTATAAGCCTACTAAGCAATTATAATCTTAGAATTCTAATTCTTATTAAAATCAATGATAATATTGCTTTGTATGTTTATTAAGATTTATTTGACACATTTTGTGTAATCATTGATTTTGAGATGATAAGATGTAGTCTTATGAAAATTAATTATAAATTGCTATGTTTTATCTTTTATGAATTTATTTAAGAAATATTTATCTCTATGACTACTAAGCACCTTAAGGTATCTAAATTGAGTGATAATTTTTTCAAATAAAAAATTGACAATATACTTTGCATTACAGGTTTTAATTATTTTATCTTCAACTCACTTTGTAAGATACCTAATGGCTACTATAATATGCTTCATTC